GCAAAATGTTAAAAGGCTGAAATTTATTTTACAGAAAAAAATCAAATTGCCTGCTTAAATACCAATTTCCCTACCTTTAAATTGTGGCTAAATACCTTAGAACGATTTTTGTTCGTTTGCTTGCCTTTTGTTTGTGTATGTTGGGGGGTTTAAATTAAGCAGGAAATTGAGGAAAGAGCTTTTAATGTAATTCTTTTTCTGTTGTTTTGGATTTCTTAATTCATTCTTAGTAAATTTCATGTTAAAAAGAATAATATTTGTTGTAACAACAAAATAAAAGGGCTAAAAGGGTAGGATATTAAAAGAAGGGCGGGAAAAATAACAGAGGAAAGGATGTAATTTTTATTGTTCATGAAATATTTAAGGTAAGCATAGCTATACACGAAATTTCTTAGAATGGGTCTAGGGGGAGGGGGCGTAAGACAAAAAATCCGTAAATTTACATTCAATCAGCCCTTTGAATGAGAAAAAAAGAAACGAAAACAATGAACGTTTCACGTTCATTTAAAAGGTAAACAACGGAAATCACCCACCCCTCAAACGTACCATGACAAATGTTTGGACAAATCATGAAACAAAAGAACAACGAAGCGACGACAGCTTGTGTACTATCAGTTATGCCACCAGATGACTGAAGTTACAACACCAACTACACCACACAACAATAGAACAAATTAAGCCACAACGTATCTATAGCTCAAGTTAAGCCATAAAGCGATACTTTGAAATGTAGGTGTATGTTTGTAGTGGTATGTGATAAAGAATTAGATTATAATACTCATACCAATAAATGACAGTCATGTATATATGTGTTAAAATTTAGTTTATATTTAAATTTAGAAAATTCCATCGAAATATTGAAATTATATTAATACAGAAATGTGGAGATAATATCGACTGAGCCTGAACCAAATCTCCAAAATTGTCCTAGTATGATAATACCTCTAAAATATGAGCAAAGAACCAAAATTTCTTATACAAATTTCTCACAAGTTCTTCACACAAAATTATGGTGTCTTGCAACGTTGTGAGGGTGTCTCGAGATATAGAGCATTTAGGTATAGGAAATGTGGATATCCTTTATATTCTGAGGAGTCTAATTTGATTGATGGATGCTCCTTCAGCGGCAAATCTTATTACGATGTATTGTCAATATTGGAGGGTAGGTGTAAAGGTACCCTCCATATAAAGGTCCCACCCCATTATAAATACCTAGCTGGTCCCAGTCGAATTTTCCAAACTAAGAGCCAAATTAAGGCAATATTTGTACTTAGTGGTAAAAAATATCTTTTCAGAAAATTGTTAATGTAGGTCCACGCTTTGGTATAGCCCCATTAATCGACTGCATTTTGACATACCTGGTTCTTAGAGGATGAAATATATCTTTGCTTAAGAAGGTCTATGTTTTGGCATAGCCCCCATATACAGTTCCCTCCCGATTCATGGTATTATCATTGGCTCATTTCTAGACTCATTTTTCAACATTATGACCGTAATTTGGCATTCGAAGTCCTTGTTGGTTAAAATATTAACATGCAGAACTTTTTATATCCAACACAACTATCTTGTCATTATATGTATTATAGCTTTGTGCAGTCCCAAGAATAATATAATGCTAATTTTTAGTGGGAAGATTTACTATCGCAACACAACCCAAAAGAACAAGTTACAACCAATTGAGTAGAAAAATGCGTATCGTTATATGGGGACAACCCTTAAAGGTGCACCAATATCGATAATTTTCAGTAGAAAGAAAAATCCCCATAATATTCGGTATTTGCCATAAATTTCAAAGCTCTATCTCAATTATTGCGATCTCTACCGTGATTTCAACAGACAGGCGGACACACAAACATAGACATAGAATTTTATACTGATCTCCGATGAATATTTCGATGTGTTGACAAATTTAATGCACACTCCACCTTATGGTTAAGGGTATACAGATGTAGAAAATGGTCCAAGGCATATTTGAAATTTCGGGTTTTTGTGGTAAAAAAATTATTTGTAGAAAATATCCTTAGACCCATATTATTGCAACCACCCGTTTGTGGAACAGTGAAGGTCTTAGCAGACATATCCAATTTAATTTCGCTATTTAGTTTTCTCTTAGGCTACAAAACCTCTGGACAGACTATTTATGAGGACATAGCCACGTAAATCATGAGATCTATTGGGCATCTAGCCCAGTCGAACTTTTCATTGTTTTACTTGTTGTTCTAAAAAATGTCTCCATGCATTATTCATTATACCCTTCACCACACTGTGGTACAGGGTATTATGTCTTTGTGCATATGTTTGTAACAGGCAAAAGGAAACGAGATAGACACATGGTTCCTTTTGAGAATATGCATGGAATCACTTTCTGAGTCGATTTATGCATGTCCGTCCGTCCGTCTGTAGATGTTAAATTGTAAACAAAGTACAGGTCGCATTTATGATCCGATTTGGATGAAATTTGGCATAGGTCACTTATTTGGCCCAAGGACGAACCCTATTGAAATTGGGAAAAATCGGTCGAGATTTAGATATAGCTCCCATATATATTTTCTCCCGATTTAATGTAAATGGTGTACCAATGTCCCTATATATCGTTCGATTTGCACGAAATTTGGCACAGAGTACTGAATTATGTCTATAATGATGTGTGTTAAATTTCCTGGAAATCGGTACAGATTTAGATATAGCTCCCATATATATTTTCGTCCGATTTGAGGTAAATGATGCGCCAAAGTCCCTAAATATCTTTCGATTTGCACGAAATTTGGCACATCGTAATTAATTAGGTCTAGAATGATGTGTGTTAAGTTTCCTGAAAATTGGTCCAGATTTAGATATAGCTCCCATATAGTTTCGTCCAATTTCATGTAAATGGTGCCCCAAAGTCCCTATATATCTTTCGATTTGCACGAAATTTGGTACAGCCTAATTATTTAGGTCTAGAATGATGTCTTCCAAGTTTCGTGAAAATCGGTCCAGATTTAGATAGATATCGCTCCCTTTTATTATAGATTGATTTTAAGTAATTGACGCACCAAGGAACCAATAGGAACAAAACGTTCTGAAATTAGTATAACCTCACCTGTGACAAGTTTGTTTGAAATCGCTTAATATTTGGATAGACCTTCCATATATAGTCATATAGTCGGCCCCGTCCGGCTTTACTACTTTCCTTACTGGTTTTTCTATGCGCTCTACCTTATTGTGGAAGCACCGAAAATCGGTGACCAGCCATTATACCCCTCACCCCACTGTGGTACAGGGTATTCTGTCTTTGTGCATATGTTTGTAACAGGCAAAAGGAAACGAGATAGACACATGGTTCCTTTTGAGAATATGCATAGAATCAATTTCTGTCCGTCTATATCTTTCGATTTGCACGAAATTTGGCATAGCGTAATGAATTGGGTCTAGACTGATGTGTGTCAAGTTTCCTGAAAATCGGTCCAGATTTAGATATAGCTCCCATACCTATTTTCGTCCGATTTAATGTAAATGGAGAACCAAAGTCCTTATATATATTTAAATTTGCACTAAATTTGGCATAGCGTAATGATTTAGATTTAGATATAGCTCCATATATATTTTTCCTCCGATTTAATGAAAAAGGTGCACTAAAGTCAATATGTATCTTTCGATTTGCACGGCATTGCGTAACGAATTAGGTCTAGAATGATGTGTGTTAAGTGTCGTGAAAATCGGTTCAGATTTAGATATAGCTCCTATATGTCTTTTCTTTCGATTTTATGTAAATTGTGCACTAAAGACCCAAAGTTTTTCCGATTGTGACACAATTTTGTACAATGAACTGTAGTTAATATAAGTTTATCTCTGGCAAGTCCCATTGAAATCGGTTCACATTATATATATATATACAATTGACAATCGATTTGAATTTTAATTTCAAAAAACAATTATGTTCGATTTACATACGTTGAACCTGTCCTTGTTTCTTCAATTTTTCAACCTTGCTACAAATACGTTTTCATCTTACTCCCCTTTGAGGCATTTTGAGTTTCGATTTCGGTTTATATCCATTTAAAATTTTTTACATGTTGCAACCTTGACCCATTTTGCAATTTCACAGCAAACTGAAAAATCAAACGTCAATTTGTAATATTAACTAACTCAATTTGCTGCTTGACTTCTCTATTTTATTTTGTGTGACCCGAAATGAAATATGATTTTTTGCAGCACCATCATTTGTTAGCCAACAAAAAAGAGCTGTCAATCAATGTTTTGGATTGACAGAATACCAAACAAAAAAATTCTTCTTCGATTTTGTCCAGCTAATAAGAGACATGCATAGTAGTGATGTTACGATAACTTCTAACTAAACAAACACAATGGAGCGCAGGAGAAAAATGAAATGTCACAGTAGTTACATTTGGGTAATAAATTCCCATTACCCAAAGGTGACAAACAACAAGAAAAACCAGAGAAACAAAATCAGGAATTGAAAATATAGGGGAAGTAAGGAAAAATGAAATACCACCAGAACTAATTGAAAAATGTACGAAAGAGATGGCAAAATGTAACATGGCAACATGTCACGAGCGTGTTACTCACGTTAACTCACGCCAAGAAAACGTGCAACGAAAGGAAATGATTTATGGCTATTAGGGGCAAATAATTGAATGTCCAATGCGTAGACAGATTACGACACGTACTCAATACATTTCCCAAAGACACACAAACACACATGCATGCACGCACATCCTTCTTGGTGAATTGCCTAAGGGAGGGGAAATGTGGTTTGAGGATATCTCCCCCTCCGGAATGGCAAACATGCCTTAATTGACACTAGAAAATTGATCCTATTTTGTTATTGCCAACCAGGTTGTAAGCAATCACAAACGTACACAAATACGTACATATTTACTACACACATTCGCGTAACATGAATTGTAACAATATTTGTTGTTGTTGTTATTTTTGTTATTCTTTTCGAAGTAATAAAAATCTATTTTTATGTTTTCCAATTTTCTTCTCCTCTCTAGATAATATTCGACAGTTTTACTGTGGGTCGCTTTGATGAGGGTATGGTCGATACAGATGTGGATGGCTATGAGACAAGTCTTAGCCCCACAGGAGAATTACCAGGATGTCCAGAAGGCTTCATGCAGGTAAGTTCAAATAAACAAAAACGAAACGAAACAATCAAAAAATGTACAACCACAATATAACAATGGGATAAGCAGCAGAAAAAGAAGAGCAAGAGAACAAATGAAAAGAAGACAATTGTTCTTCTTTGTTCGGAAAATAAATTTTGCAACCGCAAGTTTTGGAAAAATATAAAAATACTTTGGAATGAAATAAGTTTCGTAATATATGTATGTTATCTATCTTTGATATGAATCTATTTGAAGAACACAATAACCACTTTCTTAGTTAAAAACCACAATCTCTATTTTTAGAATAATCCAAAGATAGGTATTGAAACTTGATAAATATGGAGAAATATTGCCAGAATGTATATAAACCCATGTAGGGTTGGTTTCTGAATCTTCTATAAAAAAGGAGTACTCATCGGAGAGTTTCAGACTAGATAATATAAGAGTTTTTGTGTATTTTAAACAGGTTTCCTATATGTACCACACCTTTAGTTTTTGAGTCAGTTTTATAGTGGTCTGAAAGATGCCTAATTCTTGAGAACGTAGTGGAATTGGCTTCTTTGGATAGTTGTCTCCGGTTATCATAGTGAAATTCTCGAAACACATGAGATAAATAGGTTCAAATTGCTTGTATAACATGTGTTTTCCTGCCTAAGAATGGACTAAGAATCACGAAAAAAAATACAGTTTATGCTATTCGATGGAGGTGATGGTTGAATGATTAAGTAAGGATGCATTCACAAATAAAATTCAAAATTACCAAATCTATTTTGGAAATCCGTTATATTTTTAAGCAGGCTTTTATTTATAGAAAAAACTTTAAGATATTCTATGTTAATAGATAATGTAGATCTTCCGCGATCTACAATATGTACGAAGGACCTAAAAATGATATGTGAACCTATTTATTTTGGATTCTCTTGAGTAGAAAATCTTCCTAAGTACAATTATCAATATTGGCCTTAGAATCTGGGATTTTTCAGTGGCATTTCTAACAAAAATTATATTTTTATATTTTTTCGGTATAGCCATCTATATAACTGTATCAGTATGTTGAAGCTTTATCCATCGGCACATTAACACATGGACAGACCTGTCTTACATCCCTATAGCTAATTATACGACAAAAAGTGTAGCTCATCAAAACATCGACTTTGGATACCCAAATCCGTTTCAAAATCCTTTTAAACCAAATCCGTTTCACATATTTTGCAGTTTTTTAGAAATATTCGTCTATTTACACGGACTTATCACTTAGATCACAGTTTAGCACATCGTGCATATCCGTCTGTTTGTTGTAATCACTATAGCCTCTAAACAAATTTAGATAGATTGACAAGAATTTGCATACAGTTGTCTTTTGTCTGCAGACAGGTCAAGTTCGAAAATGGGCTGTATAGATCCACGTTTAGGCATAGCCCCAATATATGGATACTCCCAATTTTCGTTATATTAGCTTTCTTGAGTGCGTTCTTCAAACGAATACCCGACGTACCAAATTTCTCCACTAAAAATTATAAATATAGGTCCAGTTTTTGTGTTAGCCACATATAATCATACCTCCCAATATTCAGTATTTTGGGGTTCTTGAGCCAGATTTTCAATGGAATTCCCTGTAATTTATTATTTTCGTTAATTTTGGGTAACAAAACTCTCCACTTACTATCGTAAATATAGGTCAATTTTTTCTGGTAGCCCCCATATAACGGTACCCCCAATTTTCGGTATTGTGGAGTTCTTAAGCGCGCTTTTCAACCGAATTCGCTGATTTTGATACATTGGGTTCATATTGGGTACCATTTTTCGCAACTAAAATGATAAACAGCGGTTACCAGAAAAGTAGACCTTGTTTATCATTTATATCGGTATCCGCAAATGTTCAATATTTTTGTTTGGGGCGGGTTTAGTGCATTTTTTAACCGAATTCGTTGTAATTTGGTACTTTGCGTTATTATTGGGTACAAAATATGTCGAAATTATAAATATAGGTTCATTTTCCGCCCCTATATAATGGTACCCCCAAATTCTCGGTATTTTGAGCGCGTTTTTAACCGAATTCGCTGTAATTTGGTACTTTTCGTTATTATTGGGTACAAAATATGTCGAAAATATAAATATAGGTTCAGTTTCCGGCCCCACTATATAATGGTACCCCCAAATTTTCGGTATTTTGAGCTCGTTTTTCAACCGATTTCGCTGTAATTTGGTATTATTAATTTTCTCCCATTTTAAGGGCACTTCCCATATAACCCCTTTACTTGTTTTTTCCGCGTTTTGGGATTGTGCCCGTATTGTTGGGGTTGTCCCCATATAGACATATCCAATCATACTAGGGGGATATTCTTTACTCGAAATTTTCAGTTTATACCCTAAAAAGTACTAGCCGATTTAGCCATCTGTTGTTATCATTTTACCTTCAGAAGATATTCGAGAATGAACTATAACGGCCCGCATTAGGCCTATGGATCGATAAACCAAACTATAATATTAGTTCGATATTCAGCTATATCGGTCCGTAATTAGGCATATCCTCTCATAAAATTACAACTCCCAATGGTTAATAATTCCTACACGGGGCGATACCCCACAGTATTTTGAGGTTTTTATACACACTCTACCGTGCGTTATCAATATCGGATCTCCTAAAAAGTATTAGCCGATTTAGCCATCTGTTGTTATCAATTTACCTTCAGAAGATATTCGAAAATGAACTATAACGGCCCACATTAGATCGATATCAATATTTGTTTGAGATTTTAGGAAAACCTCCACTAAAAATTCGTGTGCATTAAGGCTTACCACAGTCGCTTGGTACAATTGCCGGTATAGGTCCACTTTTTGATATGTCTCGATGGAAAACGTCGTTACTAATAAATGTCAATACTCTACGGTGAAAATTTTAGGAATGTAATATTAATATCTTTGACAGCAATGTAATATTTCTGATCGTCAGTAGTTTACAATCTTAAAAAAACATTGTTTGCGAAGGTTCAGTTATTTGTAATATGCCTTATATAAATATCCCACCCAGCTTTTTACATCGGTCATTCCATTAGATTTAAAGTTCCACGTGGTGTTGGAACTTTAATTCAAAGTAGCTGTCAGTATACTATGGTTGAGGGTGGAGGCAAAAAAGTCAACGTATGAAATCGTTCTGGGGAATATTCCTCTCTATCGGTTATTTTTATCGTTTTTTCTCAACCAACCAATGTTAATCATATTTACCCCATAAACATTTCCTTTCGATTTTCCATCAACAAAATAAATAGAGCATAAACAAAAATCCCGATTAACAATAGTAACCTAAATAACCCAATTTTTTCCACTCATATTAACACAGACAATTGAAACAAAGGTACTTCATTTATTTCTTATGATGATTGTTATAAAATTGAATACGATAAGATGTACTAACCATTGAAAGAGAATTTCCTGCTTACCGACAAAGCACAAAAAACGAAAAGACAAAAGAAACAATGAAGTAAGAACGAGAAAAAAACGTCTGTCTGTCTCCTTGTGTAATGACAAATTGTGAAATGACCCTTCTCGAAACCTTTCAATTCACATTTAGCCATTCATTCGTAGGTATGAAGACAAATAATTGAAGTCCATGACCTCTTCAGACAAAAACACACACACTCACTCAAATGCACACAAAACAATTTGAAAATTACCTTAACCCCCAAACCAGATGCATTACCGCACACAAACAAAAAGGTAAGATATACTTTCGAAACAATAAAAAGGCACACACACACACTCCTGCACACAAATATATAAAAATAATAACAATAACCAAGCCAATAGCCAGTAGTCGTAGTAGTAGTGGTATCGGTATAAGGGGTAGTATTTTCAGGACATTACCTTTTTGAAAAGCTTCATAAAAAGGTATGAACACGCACCGACACACACACATACGAGAGTGAAGAAGAAGCAAGGATTGAACAAAACCATATATGTATGTATATAAGTGTATGTAAGTATGTGTTTGCTTGCCAGTAATATTGGCAGTCAAAAACACTTGCCTCAGGCAAAAGCCTTAGATGCCACATAAAGCATGAATTGAGGTTGCTTTGTTGAGGATTTTTTACAGCATTTGCTGCTGCTGGTGTTTGCAGGCGTTTTCTTTCTTGTTTTTTTTTTTGTTTTGCTGCAGCCCTCCCCCTTTCTTGCTTTCAACACAGCAATTGTTATTATGAAACATAAACTATGCCTTCGTTTCGAAGAATTTCTTAAGAGTCAAAAGGGGGGAGTTTTAAGTACACAACTACCAGCATTTACTCAGACTCAATAAGTCTCAGGAACAAACACACTCACTCACACACACTCATATATACACATCTCCTTCTGACATGGATGCTTCTAAATATAGTCTTATGGTAATGTGCGGCTTTATATGTATGTATGTGTATTGGTATATGGTTATGCCTGGAAACGGATGTAATGTTTTTGTGTATTATACATTTTTGCTGCTCTTGTTGTTGTGGCATACCTCACTCTTCTTTCGCAAGAAAAATACCATTTGAACGCCAAATAATTCCTTAGGAGGATGCAGGATTTTGTGTAATAGAAATTGTTGCTGTATTTCTTTTATTCCATTGTTGCTGTTGTTGTTGTGTTATTTATTTCGATTTTCTCTTCTCCGGATTTCTTTTGTTTTCGGAAAAAGTTGCTTCTTTTTTCAGCTGTTATTGTTGTTGTTTTTGTTTGATATTGGTATTAGTTTTGTGAGCTACATTTCTTCCCTTTTGCCAGTAACACTTCATTTATAATGTTCACTCCATATGCAATTCACCGAACCGTATAGAACAATAGAAATCGGATTTTATCGATTTACAAGGATATTTTTTTTGTGATACAATGAACTAAAAATGCTATGGAGTAAATAGCAAACAATATTCGTACAAGACTTGTATTAGTCCGAGAAGGAATACTTGGTCAATATCGTTGGTAAGAATAATGGTGAAGGAAATAAGAGAAGTAATGTGTGGCTATTTCGAATTTTGAAAGTATCGCTTTCATTGTTAAATGAATGAATGAATGAATGTTAAAAACAGAATATATCGGTCTAT